CCAGCATTCCCAGTGGATCCAGAACCAGCATTCCCAGTGGATCCAGAGCCAGCATTCCCAGTGGATCCAGAGCCAGCATTCCCAGCAGCTCCAGAAGGAGCAGAGCCACCATTCCCAGATGAACACTGAGATTCCCAGTGGCTCCAGAGGGAATAGAGCCACCATTCCCAGTGGTTCCGGAAGGATCAGAGCCAGGATTCCCAGTGGATCCAGAGCCACCATTCCCAGCAGATCAGAGGGAATAGATCCAGCACTGGGATTCCCAGCAGCTCCAGAAGGAGCAGAGCCACCATTCCCAGATGAACACTAGGATTCCCAGCAGCTCCAGAAGGAGCAGAGCCACCATTCCCAGATGAACACCAAGATTCCCAGCAGCTCCACAGGGAGTAGATCCACCATTCCCAGCTGCTCCAGAGGGAGCAGAGCCACCATTCCCAGATGAATACTGGGATTCCCAGCAGCTCCAGAGGGAGCAGAGCCACCATTCCCAGGAGGATCCCAGGAGGATTCCCAGGGGGATCAGCGGCCGGCCCGGCGATTCCCAGGAGCCGCCGCTCAGCATTCCCGGCGCATTCCCAACGCTATTCCCGGCGCATTCCCGGGGCTCACCTCGCACTCCTCGGTGCTGCGGGGGGGCAGGGGGGTGCGCACGCGCTCCTGGGCGGGCAGGGCATGGATGAAGACGAATCCGTCGGGAACGGCTCCGAAGGGCTCCTCGCGCTGCCCGAAGTTGAGCTCGACGGCGCAGCCCTTGCAGAGCACGTGGGGCAGCAGCGCCCGCTCCGCCAGGGAATCCTTGGGAATACGGAACGCCGCCCCCAGCCCCTGCCCGTTCTTGGAGAACGACAGCTCCACCACCTCCTCCGAGCTCTCGAAATCCTGGGAAAACCCAAAAAAACCCGTTCGCTTTCGCCGCCGCTCCCGGAAAACACCCCCCCCCGCGAGAGCAGCTTTGTGGGATTGTTCCCTCGATTTTCCCAAATTTCCCCTCAGTTTTTCTGGATCTCTCCCCCCCCCCGACTTGTTTTTTCCAGATGTTTCCCCTCCTTTTCCGAATTGTTCCTCTTTTTTCCCAGATTTTTTCCCATTTTTCTGAATTGCTCCCCTTGAATTTTTGTCCACATTTTTTCCAGATATTTCTCCTAATTTTCCTGAATTTCCCCCAAGTTTTTCCTTAATTTTCCATCAATGTTTCTGGACCTCTCTTCCCCCTTATTTTTTCCAGATGTTTCCCCTCTATTTTTCCGAATTGTTCCTTCTTTTTTTTTTCTGATTTTTTCCCCCATTTTTCTGAAATGTTCCCCATTTTTTCCAGATGTTTCTCCTCATCTTTCTAAATTTTTCCTCTTTTCTCTCCCCCCTTTTCCTCCTCCATTTCCCACCATGTTTCTGGATTTGTTTCCATTTTTCTGGACCTCTCTCCCACCCCTTATTTTTTCCAGATGTGTCCCTCCCCTTTTTCCAAATCGTTCCTGTTTTTTCCCAGATTTTCTCCCCTATTTTTCTGAATTGTTCCCCTTGAATTTTTTCCCCCATTTTCCCAAATTATTCCCCATTTTTTCCAAATATTTCTCCTCATTTTTCTAAATTTTCCCCTTTTTTCCTCCTGTATTTTTCCCCTAATTTTCCCCAATTTCCGTAATTTTTCACCAACATTTCTGGATTGGTTTCCATTTTCGCGGATTTCTCTCCCTCCCTCCTTTCCCTTACTTTTTCCAGATGTTCCCTCCCATTTTCCCCAATCGTTCCTCATTTTTTTCCAGATCCCCCCTCCATTTTCTCCCCATTTTTCTAAACTATTCCCTTTTTTTCCCCCTAATTTTCCTGGATTTCCCCCCCTGAATTTTCTCCAGATCCCCCCCAATTTTCCCAGACTCCTCCCCATCCCTTTCCAGAATTTTTTTCCCAGATTTTCCTGGATTTCCTCACCGCAAAGCAGCCGATGACGTCGTTCTCCCCAAAACTCTCCCCGAATTCCTCAAACTGCCCATTTTCCACCTTCAGCCCCCGCCCATCGTATCCGTAGGAAAACTCGTCCTCCCCTGGAATGGGAGAAAACCCCGTGAAACAGGAATGTCGGGAGGTGTCCCAGAATTCCAGGGGGATTTGGGGATGGAAAAGGGGATTAATTTTTTTTTTACCCAGCTGGGAGTGGGAGAAATCCACGGACCAACCCACACGGAAAAGGGGCACCTCGGGGCTGCCCTCCTTGAGGGGCAGGTACTGCGTCACCTGAGGGAGGAAAACCGGGATCAGCCGGGAATGGGATGGGAAAAGGAGGGAATTGGCCTCAAAAAGCCCCAAAACAGCCCCAAAAGCCCTCAAACTGACCAAAAACGGCCCTAAAGTGGCCCAAAAAGGTCCCAAAATGGCCTCAAAGTGGCCTCAAACGGCCTTAAAGTGGCCCAAAAAGGTCCCAAAAGGCCTCAAACTGGCCCAAAACGGCCCCAAAAAGCCTGACATTGTTCAGACACAAAAGCCCCAAAAAGTGTTCCAAAAAACTCCAAAGTGGCCTGAAAAGGCCTGAAACTGCCCCAAAACTTTCCTAAAAAGGACCCAACCTGATCCAAAGAGGCCCCAAACCCACCCAAAATGCCCTAAAACCTACCCAAAAGGGTACTAAGCCCACCCAGAAGCCCCTCAAACTGCCCCAAAACTCCCCTAAACCCTCCCAGAACATGCCCAAACCCACCCCAAATCCCCCAACCCCCCCCAAAACCCTCCCAAAGCAGCCCCAAACCCACCCAAACCAGCCCCAAACCCTCCCAACCCCCCTCAAGCCCCCCTCAAACAGCCCCAAACCCACCCAAACCCCCCTCAAACCTTCCCAAAACAGCCCCAAAACCACCCAACCCCCCCCCAAAACAGCCCCAAACCCACCCAAACCCCCCTCAGACCCTCCCAAAACAGCCCCAAAACCACCCAACCCCCCCAAAACAGCCCCAAACCCACCCAAACCCCCCTCAAACCCTCCCAAAACAGCCCCAAATCCACCCAAACCCTTCCAAAACAGCCCCAAACCCACCTAACCCCAAACCACCCCCAAACCCTCCCAAAACAGCCCCAAATTCCCCTCAAACCCTCCCAAAATAGACCCAAACCCACCCAACACCCTCCCAAAACAGCCCCAAACCCACCCAA